AAGAGGCCCATTTCATGTTTACAGACCAGGTAAAGGGTGAATTTCAATGAACTACTAGCTGGCAAAAGCACTGTAATGAGTTGACAGTATCCTTCCAAAATTCATGTCCACCTGGAAACTTGGAACGTGACCTTATTTAGAAATGTACCTTTTTTTTTGCAGATGTAATTAGTTAAGCTGAGGTCATACAGGATGAGGGTGGGCCCTAAATCCAATGACTGGTGTCCTTTTAAAGGGAGATGAGACATGGAGCCGCACTTAGACCAGAGAGAAGAAAGCCATGTGATGACAGAGGCAGAGATTGCCAGCAACCATGAGAAGTTGGAAAGAGGTAAAGAAGGACTCTTCTCTAGAGCTTTCTGAGGGAGCATGGGCCTGCCAACACCTTGATTTCAAACTTCTAGCCTCCAGAACAATGAGATAATAAATTCTTGTTGTCCTAAGCCACCACATTCGTGGCAATTTGTTATGGCAGTCCTAGGGAGCTAATACAGCACCAAACCCAGTTATTACCAAATGCTCAATTCCAGTTTGGGGAGAACCAACTCATGAATGAATAGCTGAAACCCTATGCTTTGGGAGAAAGGCGAGAAGCAAGATTCTGTATGGACAATGTGCTGAACACCCAAGATTATAGCAGACTCTGAAATTCTACCATACATCTCTCCTCTCATTAGGCTTTACTGTCTTATCAGACGTGGATTTTCGGTACTGTGGGAAATTTCAGATGTCCGTCTCTTCACGTGAAAATGTCATGAAGCCATCATGCTTTATTCCAACATATCCTCCTGCAGCAGCTCTCTGACCACTGGGCTCTCCTTCTTGCGGGTTGTCTGTCTTCTGTGCCTTGAAATCTATCTGAACAGTCTGTTAAATTTCAGAAACTGTCCCTTTTATCAGTTTGATCCTCGTTTTATTCACATATTTATGGAGCAAGAATTAACTAGAGATCACTGTGCCAGCTACCTTCAAGGGAACAAATGACACAGAGAACACAAGGATGAACGGGACACAGACCCCGTCTGACATGCACATGAGTGACGGAGACACATCTTGGAAGATCCCAGATTTCTACTGGGGGGTTGGTGGTGTTCATCCAGGAGATAAGGAAGAAAAAGAGGCGAGTGGAGAGGAAGTGAGGAGGAATGCAGGTTTGGTTTACGGTGCCTGTGAAACAAACAAGTAGTGATGTTTCTTCAAGTCACCTCTATGCGGAGGAGGCTCAAGAAAAGGCTCAGGCTCAGGATATAAACTGGAACTCACTGGTTTAGAGATGGTAGTTGAAGGCTTATATGTAGAAATAGATGAGCTAGCCCAAAGAGAGCCTAGAGCATGAAAAGTGCAGGAACCAAAGGCAGAACAATGAAGAACACGAATAATATGTGGGAATGCCGAACAAGAGGAACCACTGTAAGGAGTGTTCAGAAGAAGGAAGAGAACCTGAAGACAGAGGGGTAAGGGAGGACAGAATTCAAAGTGGAAGAAGTACTGTAGGTAATAATGTGAAATGTTGAGAAGATAAGGACTAAAATAAGTGAATTATATTTGACAATAGGGAAGACAAGGGAAGGGCTAAGGGTAGAAGCTCCTTACAGAAGGCTTAAAGGGAATGGGAGGTGTGATTGTAGTTTATTCTCTATAACTGATGTTATGATACTCATAATGGAAAAGTCAAATTGGTCTATAAGACCTGGAATGGACAAGGGCCGTCCCTTCCCCCCCATCCCACCACTAAGTCCTGCTCTGCAGAACTGCATCCAAATTCCTATTCGTATAGCTGTTTCTATGGGGATTTATTTACACGTTCTAAATAACTTAAGACAGCCATCTCTTTTGATATTTGACTTTTACATGTTATTAAGTTCATTTTAGGGAATATAAGGATTTAGCTCTCTTACACAGCCACATTACCTTCATACACAGAATTGTCATTCCCACCTTCCCTCAAACCTCCCAATATACTTCTAACTTATTTTGGTTAGATCAGATTTCAGTGTTCACATTATAATGACTATGTATGTATTATTCATAGCTAAGTCTTCTAATGTACTATAATTAAATTTCTTGCACACCATTTTGCTTGGACTTAATGATAAATGAGTATGGTTTCCCCCCTTTGCTTAGTCTTCTATGTACCCATCACTAATCCTGCCAGAATTGCAAACTTTCACCCCAAAGTATACATCTCCTCTCAGCAATGGAACATACCAAACACACCGAGTACTCTGTCTGCAGTACTTTTCCCCTTGGAGGCATGTGCCTTGAACTCTCCATCTTCTTAGCTCCAAAACTTTCAACTTCGATCTCCTTTATCACCCTCTCAAGAATTTCTTCCATTACCTACTATGTTGAATCCCCTATGCTTGTTACTTGGATTACTCTCTCTTTTAGGTAGACCTCCAGTAACCTCCTGAGAAAGGGTGCATGGGAGGAACCTTTTTTTTTTAATGCTTTGCATATCTGAAAATTATTCCTACTTTGAATATCATTCATCAGAGTTTAAGTGGGAAATTAATTTTCCTCAAGATTTTGAAGGCATTGTTCATCATCTTCTAGACTGAGAAGTCTAATATCATCCCGTTTTTCAATTTTTAGTTTGCAGCTAGTTAGATTCCGGAAGCTCTTAAGATCTCAAATTTGTCCTATATTTTGAGAAATTCCAGAATGATATAGGTCTTCATCCTTCATGTTGTGCTTGCAAAGCGTTGGCCCTTTTAATCTGTGAATTCCCATATTTCAGTTTTGGGACATTCTCTTGAAAAACCTTTACTTAAAACTCAACTCTTATTCAGCACTGCATGATCCACACTGGGGAATGGGGAGTCAGAATTCAGCCCTATTGGTCATTCAAGGAATCCACACTAGGAAGATATGTATCATCTTTAGGTTGTTTGATCATCTTCAGAATGTATGGTAAAATGGTTTCTGCTAAGAATCTGAGGCAAACTCCAACTCAGAGACATTTGCTGAGTGGGCAATTAAAAACAACTCCACCCATATCTGTGCAATAATTAAACTAGTTTTAGTGGGAGAGGGAATGCGTGAAATAGGTGATGGGTATGAAGGAGAGCACTTGTTGTGATGAGCAACAGGCGCCGTATGGAAATGCTGACTCACTATGTTATACACCTAGAACTAATACTATACCTGGAACTAATATTACTATTTAACTAATGGGTATTGAAATAATAATGCTCTGAAAATGAGTGTGACGACAGAGATAAAAATAGAAGGAACAACTGAGTATCTGTTTAAAGATTAGTTAGAGTACCCAATCCCTTCCATGCCTCAGCTCAGTGGATGGCTACCATGTCTATTCTCACCTATGCAGAAGTCTAGGATTTTCTTCTCTGGAAAGGTCTCTGAACTGTAAGACACCTTGCACATACAGTAGCCCTCACCCTCACCCTAACCATCACCCTAACACAAACCCTAGTCCTACCACTAACCTGTAACTGGAACACCTAAGCGTAACCCTTTCCCTAACCCTAACCATAAACCTAACCCTCTGGCAAGGTCTCTGAACTATAGGATACCAGGCACATAAACTTCCCCTAAACTTAACCCTTACTGTAACTCTAACCCTAACACTAGATTTGAGAAAGTGGGTTCCTGAACACAAAATAAGAAAAGCTGAGAGCAGCCGAGTTATTCTGGGGAAGATCCCAAACCTTTAAGAATTGGTAATATTTCTGAAAATGGGTGTGAAGGTAGAGATAAAAACAGAAGTAACAATTGAACATCTAATTAAAGAGTATTTAGGGGCACCTGGGTGACTCAGTAGGTTAAACATCCAACTCCTGGTTTCAGCTCAGGTCATGATCTCAGGTTTGTGAGGTGGAGGCCTGCTTTGGGCTCCCCCACTCAGCAGGGAGTCTGCTTCCTGCCCCCCGCTGCTTCCCCTGCTAGTGTACACACACCCATACTCTCTCTCTCTAAAATAAATAAATAAATCTTTTTAAAAATAATTTATTTATTTGACAGAGAGAGTGAGAGAGAGAGAGAACACAAGCAGGGGAGAGTGAGAGGGAGAAGCAGACTCCCCGCTGAGCAGAGAGCCCGATGTGGGACCCGATCCCAGGACCCTGGGATCATGACCTGAGCTGAAGGCAGACGCTTAACTGACTGAGCCACCCAGGAGCCCCTAAATAAATAAACCTTTTTTTAAAAAAAGAGTATTTAGAGCTCTAAGTCCCTCCCTTGCCTCAGCTTGGTGGATGGATGCCATGTCTAATCACACCCAAGCAGAAGTCTGGAGAGGTCTCTGAACTGCAGGATACCAGGCTCATACCAAAACCCTAACCTGAACCCTAACATTTCCCCTAACCCCTAACCCTAACCAACATCCTATGGAGTGGTCTCCGACCAGCAGTATACAAGGCCCATACCCTCACCCTGGCCCTAATCCTAACCCTCACCCTTTCCCCAGTCCTATCCTGAACCCTAACCCTAGATGTGAGGGGGAAAAGAAAAAGAGAGAAGTGGCATATATATATATACAATGGAATATTACTCAGCCATAAAAAAGTATGAAATCTTGGCATTTGCAACGACCTGGATAGGGCTAGAGAGTATGATGCTAAGTGAAATAAGCCATTCAGAGAAGCACAAATACCATATGATTTCACTTATATATGGAATTTAAGAAGCAATACAAATGGGCAAAGGGATAAGAAAAAAAGAGAAAGAGGCAAACCATAAAACAGCCTCTTAACTACAGAAAACAAATGGATGGTTACCAGAGGGGAGGTAGGTGGGTGGGGAGATGGCGGAAATAGGGGATGGGGATTAAGGAATGTACTTATGTGATGAGCACTGGATGTTGTATGGAAGTGTTGAATTACTATATTATACAAATGAAACTAATAGTACTGTATGATAAGTGGAGTAAAAATAAAACCTTCCAAAAAATAAAAAATAAATTAAGTTTTAGTTGGTACAAATTCACTATCAAATACCAAACAAGCCACTTTAAAGATGGGGAAAGAAATTTCACTTACCAATTCTACAGTACCGCTCCTAGTGCTGTAACCTGTCTGATATTTGGACCAGCTTTCTAGCAGCTTGAATTTGGCTCTTCATTAAGTTAGTCTAGGAAACAGACATTGCCTTTGTTTCTTTGTTGCTAGATATCATGAACCAGCTCCCAGATTCAATCAGAGCCTTGCTACTCAAAGTATTATTATTACCTAGGAATGGGTCAGAAATGTAGAAACTTGGGCCCCACCTCAACCTTACTGAAGCAGAATTCGCATTTTAACAAGATCCTCAAGTGATTCCTATGCACATTCAACTTGGAGAAGCAATGATATGGGTCGTGGACATCTTTGAGAATCAGACAGAAGATGAAGACCAGAAATCTCAGACTAGAAGCTTCGCAGGTGATGGAACTGGAAAGGGGCAGGTGGGGACTTTTAGCAACTGGGGAAAGCAGGCTCTAAGTGTCCACAGGTAGCAGCTACTTTGCTCCAAGAAACATTTGTCCAGAGGGAATGCAGCATCAGTATTCTTAGATTTTTCAGTTTTCCAAAAGAAGTGAGTAGTGTGGATTTTCTTTAATGTATTGAATCAAAATTTACATTTTGGAAACCAAATCAATTTCAAAATTATGGGGCAAATAAATCACATCACAGACTAGTCTTTGTCAAGGTTGATAACTTGTGTCTTCTGTTAGACCCTGTCCCCAGAGAAGTACACATACGCACCTAGAAACACACAGTTCAGTGGTGTCCATTAGAGCTCTGTACCGTGATGCTTGTGCATCAATCAGTGTGACAGCCATTGGTCATATGAGGCTACTGAGGACTTGGAATTGGCAAAAGTGACTGAGGAATTGAATTCCTAATTTTATTTAATTTTAATAAGTTTATACTTAAGTAGCCACATGTATTTAGTGGTTACCACATCAGGCACACAGATACAGAGCCCACAGACCATGGGTTAAAACTCTTCTCAGGGTGGCAGGAGGGGTGAAATAAAGGGGGTTATCATAATGAGCACTGAGTAATGTATACAATTGTTAAATCACTATATTGTACACCTGAAACTAACGTAACACTGTATGTTAACTATACTTCAATAAAAAACAAACAAACCAAAAAACCTAAATGCCTATCAAATGTTTATTTTCCCAAACAAGCTTTCCTTTTGAGGCAGTTCTTTATTTAGTTAATATGGAGGTTCTCAACCTCAGCTGCTGTGGGAGACCAAAAAAATGGCCCCAAAGACAGTAGGTCCTATTCCTGGAACCTGTAAATATTACCTTATTTGGAGAAAAGGTCTCTGCAGGAGTGAACAAAATAGGGATCCTGAGATGGGGCGGGGGCGGGGATTATCCTTGATTTTTTGGGTAGGCCTTAAAAGCAATTACATGTAGCCTTACCAGAGGGAGAAAAGGAAAGACTTGAGGATGCTGGCCTTAAAGATTGGGGTGAGGCAGCCATAAGCCACAGACTGCTGGCAGCCACCAGAAGCCGTAAGAGGAAAGGACTGGATTCTTCCCTAGAGCCTCCAGAGGGAGTACGGCTCAGCTGACATCTTGATTTTGGCCAGTGCCACCGATTTCAGACTTTGGGCCTCCAGAACTGTTGTTTTAAGGCACCAATTTTGTGGTTGTTATAGCAGCCCTAAGAAACTAATATAGCTGCCCACTGGAATTGCCTGGGGAGCTTTACCTACCTACATTAGTTTATTTAATCTTCTTCCAACGAGATGACTATTGTGATCCCTATTTTGTAATGAGACAAGGATTAGCAGATTTTAGGAACTTACCCACAGCTGGCTTGTGGCAGAGTTGAGGAGTGAACCCAGGTCTGTCTGCTCACTTCTGGAAATAGTGAACAAGGAAGAGGGAAATATCCAAGATGACTTCTAAGACTTCTGCCTGGAATATGGAGCCAACAGGAGTTTCACTATCAAAGAAGGAATCTGAGAAGAATGGCAGTTGAGGGTGTAAGTATGGGAAGATAAACTCAGTCTGGGATGCTTCCTTAGTTGTTTTCCTAACTTGATACTTCATTCTTGTCTTCCACAAAGGGACACATGGCTCACTCATCCAAACTCTCACAGCTATTCAGTATGTACGCACACTTGGACTTCCTCCACACACTCTCCACCACCCTCTTGGAAACCATAGCTCCATTGTAGGCAAATTGCCTTTTATTTCTAAACCTAACTCTCTAACTCAGTATCCTTGTAGAAACATGGCAGCTTATCTCTAACACACCTCTTCATGCTTCTTTAGGCAAGGAAAAAATGAGTGTGTGTACAGATGGATACAGATCCACACCTGTAAAAGTTTCTAACCAGATGGAGAGTAAATATGCTGGGATAAAGAAATACAGTGATTGGGACGCCTAACTGGCTCAGTCCATGGAGCATGCAACCCTTGATCTTGGGGTTGTGAGTTTGAGCCCCATGTTGGGTGTAGAGATTACTTAAAAATAACATCTGAAAAAAGAAAAGAAATACAGTGATGAAGAAGAAAAGTAGAAGAGTGAATATAATATTATAGAGTGCCCTCTTCACTGCATTAATAAGTGGTTTATGAAATTCATAGGGAGTTTAATATGCTTATATAAGGGAAGCATTTAGGTATATGGCATGTTTGATATTTATTTTTACATAATCTCATAAAATGTCCAATTATGTAGAGGGTATTGATTATCACCTATTATTCAGCCTCAGATTCAATCTACTGAAAATTCTCCTCAAATGTCCACATAACCCACTGTCAAACCTGCTCATACCATCTTTTAAAAAATTTACCTAAATGATACACTATCCAATCATCTGTCAGTCTGCCCACCAAGCAAGCATTAGCATCCTAATGTTTCCTGATGTGCCTCCATCCTCACTCCCTCTGCACTAGTTCAGATCTCCAACAGCTGCCGTCCAGATCTTCACAATAGTTTCAGAGCTGGTCACCCTGCCTTGAGTTTTGTCTCCTCCCAAATCCAACCTTCACATTGCCATCACAGAGTTCTATCTGAACTGCAGATAGGCTTGTGCCACTTACTCCAGATCCTACTTCAAATTTTAGTTCATAGCCTTTTACCTGGCCTGCCACATCTTTTAAAGCAAGCTACTTCTTTCTTCATCCTCACCCTGAGCCTCTCATGGCTTGCCATCCATCGATCTCAGCAAATATAAAATTTCTGCACTGGCTTCTCAGTTTGGACTACATGGCACTCAGCTTTCCCCCATCAATCCCAGTCTCACTCTCTCCAACTCTCCCCCCTGCCCCAGCACCTTCTTTCTTTGTGCTTTTATAGCATCCTGTAGATAGCTCCATCAGAACATCTGCCTCGTTGTTTACAACCGTCAGTTTATATACCCTTCTTCTTAGTCTATCGGTTCCTAAAAAGCAAGAATCTTGGGGCGCCTGGGTGGCTCAGACGGTTAAGACTCTGCCTTCAGCTCAGGTCATGATCCCAGGGTCCTGGGATCGAGTCCCACATCGGACTCCTTGCTCAGCGGAGAGCCTGCTTCTTCCTCTCCCTCTGGACCTCCCCCTGCTCATGCTCTGTATCTGTCTGTCTCAAATGAATAAATGAAAAAATCTTTAAAAAAAAAAAAGCAAGAATCTGTATATTACATCTGAATTCTCAGTTAGTACCATGCATCTGGTATATAGTAGATGTGCTCTCTACTAGGACCTTGTTCCTGCTAATTTTTCACTCTGCCCCCAAAAGTAAAAAAATAAAAGGCAAACAAAACCTGTGCTTTATCAAACATACTGTGAAACTTTCATAAATAGTCTTTTACGTGTTTTTTTAACTTCAGCTTTGGGAATGATCTGCATATCTAGTGGAATCCAAACCCATCAATTCACTCCTGACCTCTTGCCAAATCCTATGGCTTTTCACAGTTCCTTACTCTCTTTGCAGCTTTCAACTGTTGTCCATTTTCTCCTTCAACTACCTTCTATGACTTCACACCATTGTCAAGCATTGACCGCTCTTGTTTCAGATGCCTCGTTGCCTTGATTAAATTAACCTACCTACCATCAGAGTAAACACATTCTCGTCTGCACTTTTGGGCTATCTTGCTATTTGTGTTAGCAGCTGCCTCAACAAAAAATCTTATCCTGTGAAAGTCCCCTATTGATGCAAGAATTTCTTCAAATTTAAAGTCCTGGTAGATTAATTAAGATACAAGTTTCTCCCCTAACCCTCTAGGTCTGGGGGCACCTGGGTGGCTCAGTCGTTAAGCATCTGCCTTCGGCTCAGGTCATGACCCCAGGGTCCTGGGATCAAGCCCCACATCGGGCTCCCTGCTCCGCAGGAAGCCTGCTTCTCCCTCTCCCACTCCCCCTACTTGTGTTCCCGCTCTGTCTCTCTGTCAAATAAATAAATAAAATCTTAAACAAACAAACAAACAAACCCTCTAGGTGTGGTATAGACAGAATAAAGCAGCCTCTTCTCCCTTTATTTCAGACTCCAGTATTGGCATACTTTTTGCGGGGAGAGATCATGCCCAGGGTTTTTTTCCTGTTATTTTTTTTTTTTTTTTTTAAAGATTTTTTATTTATTTATCTGAGAGAGAGAATGGGAGACAGAGAGCATGAGAGGGGGAGGATCAGAGGGAGAAGCAGACTCCCCGCTGAGCAGGGAGCCCGATGCGGGACTCGATCCCGGGACTCCAGGATCATGACCTGAGCTGAAGGCAGTTGCTTAACCAACTGAGCCACCCAGGCGCCCCTTTTTCCTGTTATTGTTGTTTATTAATTAGCAAGTTGTTTTTAAGCATCCTCCGTTCTCTTCCTAATTCCCTACTTCCCTCCACAAGTACATTTTCCAAGAGTCCCTAAGGAAAGTGATTGGAAGAGGAAGCCAATATGTGGGGTCGTGGCCTTGTAGCTCATTTAGCCCCAAATTTATTCTTAAATTTACTTAAGATTATCTGAGGAAAAAAAAATATATGCCAAAATACGTGTGCAGGTGGGTTCTCACCTTTTTAAGGGCCATCAGGTTCTCGGGTGAAAGCGTGCGGCAGGGGTGAGGGGGTCAAACCTGTTCCTTCAAACAGCACTATTTGAAGCAAAACCCCAGTGGCGCGGATATTAGAGGCAAGTTGTACTTAAAGGTAGAAAGTGCAGGAGTCTTCCCTCTTTGTGATCGTGGGCAAGTCACGAAACTTTGGGGCTTATTTCTTGTAAACTGGGAATAACCTTACGGGGTTATTGAGAGAGTAAATGGAATAACCTAAGCAGAAGCACTATGAGAAACAACAACGCCGGTTTATGGGAACAGGGACGCCGAGCAGCCGCATTCCCACCCGTCGGGGTTATCCCCTTCCCCTAACTCTGGGGCCGCGTCACACTGAAAGCCCGCGGCGGCGGCGGTGGCGGCGGCTCGTCTCCATGGCAACCGCTGCTCCATCCCGGGCGGGCCCCCAACCCGGCCACGGGGCCCGGAAGCAGCTTCCAATCCGGCGCTTCCCCGGCGTCTTCCGGATAACGCGGCGTCGCTCTTCCCGGTCGGGAGGTGAGAATCGAGGCCTCTTCTGAGCCCCTAGGCCGCGGGGAGAAGCGTGCCCACCGGGGTGGGAGGAGGCGGCCACGCACCCCGCCGCCACCGCGAAGCAGCCTTCCCGGCTCCTCCCTCCGCGCCCGCCCTCTTTATACCCGCCCCGACTCCTGTCGCCCCCTGGCGCTTCCCGCGGCTCCTACCTGCTCTCGCACCTCCTTGCCCCTCACCGCGCGTCCGCGCGCCCCTCCCTTCGTTCTCCCCGCGCAGCCCCGCGGCGCCTGCCGCCGCCGCCGAACCCGCTCGGCTCCCGGCCGGCGCGCGCTCACCTGCGCTCGGCGCAGCGTCCCCAGCGCCCGCGTGCCGCCCGCAGTCTCGCGGAGCCGGGACCCGCGCGGGAGGGGCGCTGGCGGGGCGGGGCGGGGCAGGTGGGCGACGCGTCCGAGGGCCCTCGGGCGCCAGCCCTCCGCGAGCCGGCCCGCTGGAGGAGGGGTTTTGGAGTGAGAGTCGGCCCTCTGCGGAAGGACCCGGATTCGGGGCTCTCAGCGAAGCCTCCGCTCCAGGGAGCCGGTTCGTGATCAGCTCGCGTGCGGTGTTGGGGTTCGGGCTCCCCGTCTCCTGCGTAGCGCCGAGAGCTGTTGTGCAGGCGGCACGTGTCGGCGGCTGGTGCTGAAGAGGCAGAGTGCGCCCCGGCCGCCCCTCTCTCTCCGTGACTTCCAGAGGCTTAATTTAGGGCCCCTCACTGTAACGCCCCCAAACGGCTTCCAAACTCATGGCCTCAACCCTTCCCGCCGCTCAGGTCTCGACCCTAGAGTCTGTCCCGGCCCACTATCGTCCGGTCTGCTGCTCCTTCTCTGCCCTGGGACCCGGCCTCCGGCCTCTTGACCACGCAGCACCGTGGGTAAGTGGATGGCCTGGATTCAGACCCCAGCCCTGCCCCTTTGCCCGTGGTCACGCTACCTGCGCTTGCCTTGTTAGGTTCCTCATCTACAACGCGGGCATGACAATAACCATACAGGGCTTTTGAGAGGTTTTAAGTAAGTTTATATTTAAGGTGCTGATAACAGTGCGTGGTAAATTATCTGTGTGTCATTTGTTATCACTTGCTACATTGCAGTCACTTTTGTATCATTTATTTGGTAACATTGTTGTCTCTTAATATAAGCTTTAAGGAGCCACAGGCTTTGTTCAGGTCACTCTATCTTTGGTGCCTAAGACAGCGCTTGATGAAGTGGGGGGGGGGGAGCGGAAAGGTAGATTGCCTAAAGAGGAAAAACAGGGGCACATTTAAGATTTTTTAATTAGCCATCAGTTACCAGTGATGCATATACTAAAATGGTGCTACAAGTGTCTTTCTAACCTCTTTCTGCTATGACATTTGGGGAAATTGCTGCTCTCATACATCACTCTGTTGCTGTTGACATTGTCGATTGATAAACAATCTTTTCTGTAATTCATTTGATAATACATAGAAATCCATTTGCCACTCTCCTTTGAGCCCAGTTAAGCCAAGTCCTTGGGATATCCTTGAATAACTTGGGGAAAAAGAATATATTCCTGAAAATGTGCCTTCCAGCATTATTTATGATAGTAAAAATTAGGAACAACCTAAATATTCTATGATAAAGGTAAATAATAAAGATGTTATGGATCAGAAGCGGAAGTGAATATGAATTAATGGAAGCACATTAAGATGGAGGAATATGCAATTACTTTTTCTTTTGAATGGTTCCTTTACTGTCAAAATAGTATTGTTTTAATACTACTTGATAGTATTAAACCTAATGTCATACTTAATACTGTTTAATAGTAAACGTTGAAAAAATCCACACAAACTACTTCTCTCATGAGACTATTTCTTAGCACTCTTTGCAGCAGGCTAGAAAAAAAATTAATTGGCTCTTTGAGCCTGCCCCAGAGTCATAATTTTTCTCGAGCTTCCCTTTTTTCTGCTCTCCAGGAGTTCCTGCATAATCCTGGCTGATCCCTTATTGTGATACTTAGCCTCGTGTGCATGATTTGCAGAATAGTGTGCATGATTTGCAGAATAAATTGGGAATTACTCATGCATATGAATTAATGCATCTTAGCTCTTAGATTCTCTTAATGAAGTATTCTTTGAAAGTGTGGTTTATTTATTTTTTGTTTTGTTTTGTTTTAAAGATTTTATTTATTCATTTGACAGAGATAGATACAGTGAGAGGGAACACAAGCATGGGGAGCGGGAGAGGGAGAAGCAGGCTTCCTGCCGAGCAGGGAGCCCAATGTGGGGCTCGATCCCAGAACCCTGGGATCATGACCTGAGCCGAAGTCAGACACTTAACGACTGAGCCACCCAGGCGCCCCGAAAGCGTGGTTTATACTAAGATTAAGGGCAATACTTGCCGTATAGTCTGTTTCTAATCTTAGATGTATTGTTCTAAGAAACATTTCTCCATGTCATGTTCCCACTTGTTTTTCTTTCTTTTTTTTTTAAGATTTTATTTATTTATTTGACAGAGAGAAAGAGACAGTGAGAGAGGGAACACAAGAAGGGGGAGTGTGACAGGGAGAAGCAGGCTTCCCGCTGAGCAGGAAGCCCAGGACCCTGGGATCATGACCTGAGGCGAAGGCAGAGGCTTAAGGACTGAGCCACCCAGGCGCCCCTCCCCCCCACTTGTTTCTTTAATCATATTTAAGGAGTGTCCTTAAGGAAAACTTCACCTTCTTGAAGATTAAAGCCTACTTCTCTGTTCCCAGTCCAAATGTCTGCAAAGCTGAGCAAGTCATCACTCCTTCCACAAACTGCAGAGGAGTCTGACAGCATTCTGATAGTGAAGATGGAAGAGGAAGAGCAGGCCTGTGATCTGGACTCCAGCCTCCCCTGGAGCCGCTCCTGCAGCCCAGAGACCTTCCGCCAGCGTTTCAGGCAGTTTGGCTGCTCTGATTCCGCGGGGCCCCGGGAGGCGCTGAGCCGGCTCCGGGAGCTTTGCCATCAGTGGCTGAGGCCGGCGGTGAACTCCAAGGAGCAGATCCTGGAGCTGCTGGTGCTGGAGCAGTTTCTGAGCATCCTGCCTGAGGAGCTGCAGATTTGGGTTCAGCAACATAGTCCAAAAAGCGGCGAGGAAGCTGTGACCCTGTTGGAAGAGCTGGAGAAAGAATTTGATGAGCCAACTGAGCAGGTAAAAAGGCATCTGGTGGGGGTGAGTGACCAGGTTGAGTTCGGAGCTCTGGGGCATCGCTGGGAGTAGAGCTTTCAAACTGTACTCCTACTCAGCACACTAAACACGTAGGGTAGTGAATGTCCTCCCGCCTGTGCCGGAAAACAGAGTGTGGCTCTGCTTTCTTCCTCCCTTTTCCTGAATCCCAGGATATTTTTCTGTGTAGTTTCTTCTCTATTATTTTTTTTATTTTATATATTTTTAAGATTTTATTTATTTGTTAGAGAGAGAGCCCAAGCAGGGGGAGTGACCGAGGGAGAGGGAGAAGCAGACTCTCTGCCGAGCAGGGAGCCCGATGCAGGGCTCGATCCGAGGACCCCGGGCTCATGACCTGAGCCGAAGGCAGACACTTAAGCCAGAGCCACCCAGGCGCCCTTTCTTCTCTATTATTTTATCCCAAAGTCCCAACAAGATTCCCTTCTTCAGCCTCAGTTATACCTAACTGCTTCCAGGTCTTTTTTGGACAAAGTGAGGACATGCCTGCAGAGAAGCTGATAGCCGGGGAAATCACTCAGGAGCCCCCACGTAGCCGGATCAAGCCCGGAAAGCAGCCGCTGCCATGGGCATCCCCAGAGTTCCGCTCAAGACAAAAAGGTGAGGGGCGGGATTCAGTTCATGGTGGGGACAAAGGTGGCCTCTCAGCCCACCACACACGTCTCAGCTGCTTTCGGCAAGCGGTCTCAAATCTCCCCTCCTGCCTCTTCTTCACCGTGGGGACTTCCACCATTAGATGTTGTGCTAATGATCATTCTCTGTGTTTTGTTCTTGTTTTTTTCCCAGAGAGTCTTATGATATCTTTCAGATTTTTAAATCCTTGACATCATCTCCATGGGGATTTTCAAACCTTTTTTGAAGAAGCATGACCCTTGGGGCGCTTGGGTGGCTCAGTCAGTTAAACGTCTGCCTTCGGCTCAGGTCCTGCTCCCTGTGTCCTGGGATCGAGCCCCACACTGGGCTCCCTGCTCAGTGGGGAGTCTGCTTCTCCCACTTCCTCTGCCCCTCTCTCTGTGTGTGCTCGTGCTCTCTCTCTCTCAAATAAATAAATAAAATCTTTTTTTAATTTTTTAAAATTTATTTATTTGAGAGAGAGAGAAATAGCATGAGAGGGGAGAGGGTCAAAGGGAGAAGTAGGATCCCTGCTGAGCCTGGAGCCCGATGCGGGGCTGGATCCCAGGACTCCGGGATCATGACCTGAGCCGAAGGCAGTCACTTAACCGACTGAGCCAACCCAGGCACCCAATAAGTAAATAAAATCTTTAAAAAAAAAAAAAAAGAAAGCATGGCCCTTTTCTGAAATGAAATGTTGCCTGGAGTCCCAGTATATAAAACAGATGAAAGCACAGCTACTGACGCAGGAACAAGCAGTGTCCATCCACAAGGGCTCCCACTTGGCCTGTCCCCCCCGAGGGACCCCAGAGTCACAGTCTAAAGACCACTAGTCTACCTCATCATTTTCTGTCTAGCTTCTTGCTTGGTTACTGGTGGCATCCAGCGTTAAAATCACCATACTGCTGCTAAGATGACTTTACCCTCACACCCTAAACTGATCTCTGTTGCTGCCTGCTTCACTTTTTACAAAGTGCTCCAAAATGGCTGCACGGCAGCCTGTTCTTCTGTTGCAGATACGCAGAAGGTAAGTGCTGTGGGACAAAAGCAAAGCAGAATAAGGGGAATAGGTTTTACTAAACAAAGTAGGGACCGAGTCTTATTTAATAAAGTGGCGGAGAAAGCGTCTTTGATGAGCGACATGTGAGCAGAGACCTTCCTTCTAGATGATCATGCTGGATAAAATGGGAGTCAGAAATGAAGAGGGAAACCCCACTTGGGAGGATCTCCCCTTCTCCCCCCAGCACGGCTTCCATATTCCACAGGGCAAGGTTAGAGTTTTTCCAAGGTACTTTTTTTTTTTTAATTAATTTTATTTTATTATGTTAGTCACCATACATTACATCATTAGTTTTTGATGTAAGGTACTTTTGATAAGAAAATAGAGGAAAAACAAAATACAAAAATTTAGAGACTTAGAAAGTATTTCTCTTAATTGACAAGTACCTGCTCCCAAGAGGCTTGTACCAGGCACTTAACACTTCCAGTCTAGCAGTTGTCTTGGCTTAACTGAGAGAGAAATGAAAGTCTTGTCACACTGCATCAGGATCAGGAGGGAACCACCCCTACCTCAGCAGCTTTTTCTGGTAGTGACAACAAAATTAAGCAGCCTCAAAGCCAGGTCTTGGGACCCCAGGGTTGACAAGAACTACGTTCTACCTCTGAATGTCCTCACAGAGGCCTTTCTTACATTTTTTATTTTGTTTTATTTTTTACATTTTATTTTTTTCACCATGATGACTGTACTCTTTAATCCCCATCCCCTATTTCCCCTATCCCCCCACTTCCCTACCCGGTAACTGATGGTCTGGTAACCATCCAATTTGTTCTCTGTAGTTAAGAGTCTGTTTCTTGGTTTGTCTCTCTCTCTTTTTTTTCCCCTTTATTCATTTGTTTCTTAAATTCCACATGTGAGTGAAATCATATGGTATTTGTCTTTCTCAGACTGACTTATTTCACTTCCCATAATACTCTCTAGCTTCATCCATGTCATTGCAAATGGCAAGATCTCATTCTTTTTTATGGCTGAGGAATATTCCTGTGTGTGTGTGTGTGTGCACACACATCACATCTTCTTCCTCCATTCATCTATAGATGGACACTTGGGCTGCTTCCATAGTTTGGCTACTGCAAATAATGCTGCTATAAAATAGGGGGTGCGTGTATCCCTTTGAATTAGTGTTTTTGTATTTGTTGGGTAGATAACCAGTAGTGCAATTCCTGGATTATAGAGTAATTCTATTTGTAATTTTTTGAGGAACCCTCATACTGTTTTCCACAGTGGCTGCAGCAGTTTGCATTCCCACCATCAGTGCAAGAGAGTTCCTTTGTCTCCACATCTTCACTAACACTTTTTCTTGTGTTTTTGATTTTAGCCATTCTTACAAGTGTGAGGTTGTATCTCACTGTAATTTTGATTTGTATTTCCCTGATGATGGGTAATGTTAAGCATCTTTTCATGTGTGTTGGCCATCTATATGTCTTCTTTGGAGAAATGTCTGTTCTTGTCTTCTGCTCATTTTTAAATTGGATTATTTGTTTTTTGGGTGTTGAGTTGTGTAAGTTCTTAATATATTTTGGATCCTAACCCTTTATCAGATGTCATTTGCAAATATCTTCTGCCATTCAGTAGGTTGCCATTTAGTTTTGTGGATTGTTTCCTTTGCTGTGCAGAAACTTTTTATTTGATGTACTTGCAGTAGTTTATTTTTGGTTTTGTTTCCCTTGCCTCAGGAGACATATCTAGAAAAATGTTGCTATGGCTGATGTCAGAGAGATTACTGCCTTTGTTCTCTTCAAGGATTTTTATGTTTTCAGGTCTCACATGTAGGTCTTTAATACATTTTTGAGTTTGTTTGTGTACGATGTAAGAAACTGGTCCAGTATCATTCTTTTGCATGTAGCTGTCCAGTTTTCCCAACACTTTGTTGAAGAGGCTGTCCTTTTCTCATTGTATATTCATTCCTCCTTTGTTGAAGATTAATTTACCATAAAAGTATAGGTTTATTTCTGGGTTTTCTGTCCTCTCTCATTGATATATGTGTTTATTTTTGTGCCAGTACCATACTGTTTTAATTACTGTCACTTTGTAATATAACTTGAAATCTGGAATTGTGATACCTCAAGTTTTGTTTTTCTTCTTCAAGATTGCTTTGGCTATTTAAGGTCTTTCATGGTTCCATACAAATTTTAGGATTGTTCTAGTTCCGTGAAAATTGCTGTTGGTATTTTGATAGGGATTACATTAAGTCTGTAAATTGCTTTGGGTAGAATAGACATTTTAACAATGTTTGTTCTTCCAACCCATGAGCATGGACTGTCTTTCCATTTCTTTGCATTGTCTTGAATTTCTTTCATCAGTGTTTTATAGTTTTCAGAGTACAGGTCTTCCACATCTTTGGTTAAATTTATTCCTAGATCTTTTATTGTTTTTGGTTCAGTTGTAAATGAGATTGCTTTCTTAATTTCACTTTCTGCTGCTTCATTATTAGTGTATAGGAATGCAGCAGATTTCTGTACATTGATTTGTATCCTGTGACTTTACTGAATTCATCTGTATCAGTTCTAATATCCTGTGACTTTACTGAATTCATACTGTATCAGTTCTAATAGTTTTTTTGGTGGAGTCTTTAGAGTTTTCTAGATAAAGTATCAGTCATATGCAAATAGTGAGAGTTTTACTTCTTCCTTACCAACTTGGAGCCTTTTATTTCTTTATGTTGTCTGACTGCTCTGGCTAAGACTTCAGTACTTTGTTGAATAAAAGTGGCGAGAGTGGACATCCTTGGATTTTGATGGTAGGGACCAGACATTGAAGTCACTTTGGAATTTGAGCTATCAGAAATGAATTTGAGGGCGCCTGGGTGGCTCAGTTGGTTAAGCGACTGCCTTCAGCTCAGGTCATGACCCCAGGGTCCTGGAATCGAGTCCTGCATTGGGCTCCCTGCTCAGCAGGGAGTCTGCTTCTCCCTCTGCTTCTCCCCCCTCTCATGTTCTCTCTGTCTCACTCTGTCTCTCAAATAAATAAATAAAATCTTAAAAAAAAAAAAAATGAATTTGAGACAGAATCCTTACCATTTACAAAATGATTTCTGTTTACACCAGTAACAATGCCATTCAGCTAGTACTATAAAATACATATAAGAGTAGAGGTTTTTTGTAAATGGGTACTCTGCTACCCTTGATTTATTTGAGATGTCAGTTATCCTAATCTATAATCCTCCCCCTTTCCCCCCTAATTTGTATTTCTGACCATATTTCCATATTCAGTCTTGACCCCTTGGCTTTCTTCATTTCATTTATCATTATTAAACTTTTATTTATTGACCTTCATACTGAGTCTTGTTTATTACTACCCACTGCCACATCTGGCTCCTCTCCATCGGTTGCTTCTCTGCTTCTCCCATAATTCCTCATCCTCTAGTCCCTTTTCTTCCAGATATTTTTTTCAGTCTCTGATATAGCTTTTTACTCTACTCACCATTCTACCTTTTGCATGGAGCTTTTCGTCTTTATAGTTGACTGTCTCCTCAATATATAAATCTTTCCTTTTTGCCTTATGATCTTCTCAATGTTTTGTGACTTCCTGTCTCCATCTTCCACATCGTGGTGCTATTTTATAAACATGCTAGCCAATAAATAATCCATATATATTTCCTTTGGATCATTCTATTTGCCTTTCTTTCTTTCTGAACAGGGAACTGGTGACATTGCTTTTCTGTGTATTATTTCAGCTAAAGACCCGAAAACTACAAATGTGAATTCAGCTTTGACGCAAAAGACTTCTCCAGGCATGGAGCTGCATTACACCGTTTCTAACACCCTTCCTGTGGATGCTCCCCAGAGTTGCACGTACAGAAGAGGCAGTGAACAAGATGGCAAGTTTGAAAGAAGACAGAGAAACCCTTTTGGAAAAAAACAACACAAGTGTGATGAATGTGGCAAAGTGTTCAGTCAGAGCTCAGCCCTTATCCTCCATCAGAGAATCCACAGTGGGGAGAAACCTTACGCATGTGGCGTGTGCGCAAAGGCTTTCAGCCGGAGTGCCGTCCTGATTCAGCATCGAAGAACGCACACTGGGGAAAAACCCTACAAGTGTCATGAATGTGGCAAAGCCTTTAGTCAGAGCTCAAATCTTCTCAGACATAGGAAAAGACACACGAAAGAAAAAGTCCCATCAGTGTTGTAAGGGAATCAAAGTGTTTGTTCAGAGCTTTTTCAGCAGGAGAAGACACAAAGCACAAACACTCCTTTAGTATTTCAGTGGGCACTAGTTTGCTTTCAAAAGTCATAAAAGCTACAGGAGAGAATGTAAAATATCTTCTGTCAACGTTGTTTGCTCTTCTGCTTATCAATACAGTGTCAATTCAGATGTTTGAGATTTTTGTGAAAGCTTAATTCAGATTTCCATCCCTAGGGCAGCTCTTGAACAGACATTCTCAAACATGTTCTATTTCCATTACTAACACAAATAATGAACTAGAACATTTCTTTTTAGACAAATTTTCCCTGTTGAGAAGGAATGTGTGAGTTACTCAGGATTAAAATAAGTATTTTCCCCCATTCCATAACTTGAGCATTGGAGTTCCCAGACCAAAGATTAGAGCATTTAAAAAATTTGTACCATTTGTTTTTTGTTACCAGACTCAAAATATGAGAATAGGATTGAGGAGGCCCAAAAGAATGTGTACCTTCAGACCAAGGCTGAAATGTCCAGAGTCATTGTTAGGGGGTAGATGAGTAAAGGCATTTAATCTCTTACGAAAATTCACAAAAGCCTACACTATTGATGATACTAAGTAGTCTTTTTTTTTTTAAAGACTTATTTTGAGAGAGAGAGAGTATGTGAGTGGGGAGAGGGGCAGAGGCAGAGAGATTCTCAAGCTGACTCCCCTGCTGAGCGAGGAGCCCACAACCCTGAGATCATGACCTGAGCCAAAATCAAGAGTCAGATGCCTAACCAAATGAGCCACCCAGGCGCCCGCTAAGTAGTTTTCTATGTAGGAAAAAAAAAACCTTTACAATGTAATCTGGAAATACTTCAGTGAAAACAGCAAGATGGCTCTACACGTCTTAGGTAAGGGCATAAACATAAGGAATGTTATAATAAACAGGGCTATCTATGGGTGCTTGTATAAAGTTCATGATCATGTTAAAATGAAAAGAGGGGCGCCTGGGTGGCTCAGTCATTAAGCATCTGCCTTCAGCTCAGGTCATGATCCCAGGGTCCTGGGATCGAGTCCCTCATCGGACTCCTTGCAAAGCAGGGAGTCTGGTTCTCCCTCTCCCACTCCCCCTGCTTGTGTTACCTCTCTCGCTGTGTCTCTCTGTCAAATAAATAAAATCTTAAAAAAAAAAAATGAAAAAAGGGAGGTGAAGAAAGACTGTCCAAATAAGACTGATAGAACACGAATATGAGCAAGCGTGGTCTATAATGGAGAAGTGTGCCACAGCTCACATGGAGAAGGAAACCCTTAACCAGCTGACAGCTCTCCTTCAGTGTTCTTCAAGGCCCCTTTTCTGGCATAAATCAGCTGTGAGCATATTTCAGGCATCTCAAGACAACCATTTTCAGGGTCTTATGCATTCTCAGTAAGGTTTGTTTCTAGACAAGCTGTCAAGACACCAGCCCCTGTGTTTTGACACTCTTGTCCAAATTTCTAAAGTTTAGTTTGAAGAGTCCACTGAGTTTTGCCCATATTTAAGTTAGTCAGATTTCCTGTTTAAAATGACTGACTTCTATGTTATTGCAATTATTCTGACAGTATACAACATGATGTTCCCTTTTCTAGGTATTCTTGATAAAACTGTGTTACAAGAATACATGCATTAAAATGTGTTCTGTGGTGCCACAGTTACCCAATATGAAAGCAAACATTAGAAATGAAAGTCCTTGGGAGAAGGGAAGAGGGGGCTTATAGTGAACTTTGGGATCCTTGTGAAGTATAAACATTGTATTATCAGAAAACCTAACCACATCTAGTGCTTAGAGTAACTGCAGAAACAATTATGGGATTACTGTGCTCTACTTAGAATATTGATAATGTAAGAATGGTAAGGGGAGAAGTGAATGTAAATTGTAATTACAGAGTTTTCTGATAGCGATTATACTTTGTAGCTCTAGTGAATATTAATATATAGAGGGTTTTGTATATTTTCAGTTATTAAAAGTATAGGTATCTTTGGGTTCATTCTCTTTGTAATTAAAGGAACAAGCCATCTATGAAAGCAGCAAATGCCTCAGATATGTGTATTGTGAATTATTGCTTAATTATGGAAAGACAGAGTTTCTTGTTACTATGAATAAAATGACAGAATCTCAAATCAGGCATTCTGAGGGAAGTTGTCTTCACTTCGTGCTGCCATAAACCTTAAGAGATTGCATTCTTTGCATTGTGAATAATCTGAATTTCTCCCGCAGAAGGTGGTGTGAGTCATATCATCTAAGTACATGACAAAATCTTTAAAGGGTATTGCTGTGTCCTGGGAGTTAATCATGAACTTACATAGGTCTCCTAATGCTAGTTCATTCAAATGGAGATTTACCAGGACTTGGGCTAACCTTGATTTTAAAAATTAGTAGGATGTTAGCACCCGCATTAGATTAATTTCCATAGAGTGTAAATACTCCCAAATGAAATTGATATTTTTATGAATTTCACTTCATCTTGGCCTTTAGTATTAGCTATAGTCCTATGTTCCCTCTTTACCTCTGTCTCATTCTCTTCAGAGACCAGATCACATGTTGGCCACTGCCCTTAAACCTTCCTGTATTGGGAGTGCTTCTGGATGCAAAATCCACCTGTGGTGGTTTAAACAAGTAAGGCTTTGTAACCAGAGATCTGGAGGTGAGTTGCTGCTGACTGTCAGTCAGCAGGTGGACAACGGCTGATCTGGATGTGGTCTCTGCCCTTCTTTTGGCCTTTCCCTCATGTTTATTTTCTCAGACAGGCAAGAGAGCTTCCCAGCTCCAGGAATGACATCCAGGGCCAAGTCAGAAAGAAAGGAATTGGAGCTCCAGCCATGGCCATCTCCTTTGCTAGGAAAAGTAAAAGCTTTCCACGAAACTCCAACAAAATTCTGCTTATGTTTCCTTGTTGCAAATGTGTTTGGTAAAGCATGAGTTTTCGACCTCTAGAGGGAAAACGGCAGGGCAGGTGGGTTTTGGCAATGACATTGGGTCAACCAACAGTGTTTGCCACACTCCTTGGCCACCGCCCTTTTCATGGGCAGATGGCTGATTTTGCCTCCTGAATTACGGGAAAGAAACGAGATAACTTACAACCTCCTGTCATCAAATTTGCCAACCTATCTACACCTCACCCATCATTTCCCCTCTGAATGGAAGAGGTGTCTCTCTGGTCCCTCACCATTCCTTCCCACTTCTGAAGGACCTTGGCTGCCATTATCCCTCTCCTATTTCTTCATCCTTTGCCCTCCTTGAGGATGCATCTCTGAACATTTAAATATGGTGATGTCACTGGCCCTCTGACTATAGTTTTCTAGCGTATCTTTACAAAATTTGAGCTGGTAGCTGATCCCCCAAGTGAGGGGGAACAAAATGGCCCTAGCTTTGACTTCTTCATATGCCTCCATTTCTTTCAACCTCCAATCTTTCAAAAACATACATTTGATCATGTCCCTTCCTTGCTCAAAACATAGGCTTTCCATTGCTTTTAATATAAAGTTAACACTTACACAAAGTTTTGAGGCTTTTTGTGATCTGACCACAGCTTACCACTTCAGCTTTATCTCTTGCCATTGCATCCTTCATACTCTATGCCAAAGCCATTCTGGATTATCAGAAGTTCTCCTGCCTCCAGGCCTTTGCATGGGTTCCTTTGGAACTCTTACCAGCTTCTGCACTTAATTCCTGTGTATTTTAGCTTAGATGCCACTTCTTCCAGGAAGCCCTCTACCCTAACACGCCAAGAGTAGGTTGGGGACCACTACCACACCCTTCTATTCATTACATAGCAGTCTGTTCTTACTGGTACTACATTTATCACATAAATTATCAAGCTGCAAATATGGCCCCAAGGAAGAGGAGGATGAATGATACTTCGGGATACTTTGGGAAGTCATGAGATAGCAAAAGAAAAAAGTGAAAAAGACCTCCTGCCCCCTGGGAATAATGGTGAGGCAAAGAGAAGATCAGACACAGGTGTCCCTTTACCTCTGCACCCAATCCCTGCAGAAATGCCAGAGGGGATTGGGAGAGAACTTGAAAGGGGAACGTGCTCGGCCCACTTTCTCTTGAGTGCATTGGGAGGGCAATTGCTCAACAGAATTCCTGTTTTCCAACACTGGACTATTCTAAAAATGGCAATGCAGTGTTAGGCAAAGGGCCTCTACCAGCTGACATATGACTTAGAAGATCTATAGCAGTTCTCCATGCTCAGTGGGGACTCTGGAAAAGAACTGATTGCACCAGCTGGAGAGTTGGGACCATTGCACAAAGTAACTTTGTGGATCTTAACAGCTAACAGCTGCCGGACCCAGCAGGCCCAGGATCAGCTAGGAGTCTCAGTCACACCTTAGAGGGTGGCTAGAACCGATGTAGAGATGACAAATGAAGGAAAAGATACTGGCCTCCAGCCTAGCCAAAAAAACAAATCACTGATTGCCATAGGTGTGGTGAGCAAGCACCCGGCCGACCACCTGTGAAGACTAGAGACCAGAACAGAAGGACAGCAAGCCCATCTGAGACCCAGTCCATAGCACCACCTCACCTAGGCGAATGTAAGCCCCCTCTCCAGATATCCAGATGGCAGAAAAAGGGCAGAGCAGGAAATAGCCATGTTAGGGAGTTGAACTGAAAATGGACTGAATAATTACATTCTTTCACCACCCACCCAACAGAGTGGGAATTCAAGAAGCAAAAATATCAGTTATTAAGAAATTAGCACCATTTTCCTTTGCATGTTTGAGAAGAATTGTGATAACTTTTTACCCCACCAAACGGGCACTTATATCTGCTTCTGTGTTGACACCGCTATTTTATGTTTCTTGAAAGTATGAACTGACCCATTTACTGGTGTTTCTGAAGCATCTGGCACAGTACCTGACCCATAATAGGCACTTAAATACTTGTGGAATAAGGGGCGCCTGGGTGGCTCAGTCAGGTAAGTGTCTGCCTTCAGTTCAGATCATGATGCCACGGTCCTAGGATTGAGCCCCGCATTGGGATCCCTACTCATTGGGAGTCAGCTTCTCTTTCTTCATCTGCCTCTCTCCATGCTCATGCTCTCTCTCTCTCTCTCTCTCTCTCTCTCAAATAAATAAAATCTTTAAAAAAATAGAAAAATAACAAATGTTGGCAAGGATGTGGAGAAATCGAAACACTTGTGCATTGCTGATGGGAATGTAAAATGGTGTAGCCTCTGTGGAAACCAATTTGATGGCTCCTCAAAAAGCTGAACATAGAACTACCAAATGATCCAGCAATTCCACTCCTAGGTATATTATCCAAAAGAACTGAAATCAGGGACTCAGACAGATACTTTTACACCCTTTTTCATAGCAGTATTATTCACAATAGCCAAAAGGTGGAAATAACCAAGTTTTCATTAATAGATCAACAGAGAAGCAAAATGAGATATATACATACAATGGATGTCATTTGCCCTTAAAAAGCAATGAAATTCTGATAATTCTACAACGTGGATGAAAGTTGAAAACATTATGCTAAGTAAAATAAGTGAAACACAAAAAGAGAAATATTGTATGATTCCATTTATATAAGGTACCTAGAATGGCAAATTATAGAAACAAAATAGACTAGTGGTTACCAGGGCTGGGGGAAGAGAGGAATGAGGAGTTAATGAGTACAGAGTTTCTTTGTTACAGAAACAGTTCTGGAAATGTGTAGTGTGATGGTTGCACAACATTATGAATGTATTTAATAATACCGAATTACACATTTAAAAATGGTTAAAATGGTATGGGGCGCCTGGGTGGCTCAGTTGGTTAAGCATCGGACTCTTGATTTTGGCTTGGGTCATGATCTTGGGGTCGTGAGATCAAGCCCTGCGTTGGGCTCTGCGCTCAGCGTGGGGTCTGCTTGAGATGCCCCCCTCTCCTTCTGCCCTTCCCCCCACTCATGCTCTCTCTAAATGAATAAATATTTTTGAAAATGGTTAAAATGGTAAATTTTATGTATATTTTGCCACAATTAAAAGCATTGAGGGCGCCTGGGTGGCTCAGTTGGTTAAGCGACGCCTTCACCTCAGGTCATGATCCTGGAGTCCCGGGATCGAGTCCCACATCGGGCTCCCTGCTCAGTGGGGAGTCTGCTTCTCCCTCTGACCCTCCCCACTCTCATGTGCTGTATCTCTCTCTCTCATTCTCTCTCTCTCAAATAAATAAATAAACAAAATCTTTAAAAACAAAAAACAAGGGGCGCCTGGGTGGCTCAGTGGTTAAGCGTCTGCCTTCGGCTCAGGTCATGATCCCAGGGTCCTGGGATCAAGCCCCGCATCGGAGAGCCTGCTTCTCCCTCTCCCTCTGCTGCTCCCCCTGCTTGTGCTCTGTCTCTCTCTGTCAAATAAATAAATAAAATCTTTAAAAAAATAAAAAAATTTAAAAAATAAAAACAAAAACCAAAAGCATTGAAGGAAACAAGAAGGAAATTACTTTTTTTAAAAAATAATTTTATTTATTTATTTGAGAGAGCGAGAATGAGAGAGAGAGAGAGAGTACATGAGAGGGGGGAGGGTTAGAGGGAGAAGCAGGCTCCTCGCCGAGCAGGGAGCCCAATGCAGGACTCGATCCAGGGACTCCAGGATCATGACCTGAGCCGAAGGCAGTCGCTTAACCAACTGAGCCACCCAGGCGCCCCAGGAAATTACTTTTATATAATCCCTGCCCTAATAAGGTTTATATTCTAGCAAAAGTAGAAGCAAAAACCCTATGGAATGAATGTTGTAAAAAGGCAGAGGGTCTGTAAGATAAAATCCAGACAAGTGTTCGGTGAAAGCACCGACTAAATGTGAGCCCAAATATGTTCTCTTTGCCACTAACATTGAGGGTGGGCAGTGATGAGACTATACCAGCAGCCCTAGATTTGGATGGACTATATGCGTGACAGATCCTGGACAGCTAGTAAATAATATTAAAATTAGTTGTAATTTCCATCTTGAATACAAAGTATTTCCTTGTGGGGCCCCTGGGTGGCTCAGTCGGCTAAGCCACCGACTACTGATCTCAGCTCAGGTCTTGATCTCAGGATTGTGAATTCAAGCCCCATGTTGGTCTCCACACTGTGTGTGGAGCCTACTTTTTTTTTAAAAAAAGGTATTTCCTTGTATAACACTATATGCTAAATTAATTATTGATTCCTGAAATTTTACCTAAAGGATGTAGCTTATTATTTGGGTTTCTTAATCTTACTTGAACTTGAATTTAGCTCAGATTAACTAGCTTGTCTTCAGCTGAAGGATTATTTTTATTCAGAGGCTAGAATGACATTGGCTGGCAATGTGTGGGAACTTTAGTGTCCGAGCTA